GACAATTTTACATCCTCTTGTGTCTTTCATTCACATTGATGTCCTCTTCTGCCCAAGGAGTTACCATGCTTCTTCATTGTAAGTTGGGATGCTCCTTCTGGCTTCAGTCATCCTTCAGTCAGGTCACTGTAGTCTTCCCATTCTGGGGTATCAAAGTCTCTCAATACAAACTTTCTTAGACAGTCTTCCAATTACTACCCAGCCAGTACTACTTCCCCAGTGACTGCTCAAAGAACCCAGACCCATCCTCTGCTCTAGGTGCCAGCTCAGAAACCTTCAAATCAGCAGCCAAGAGCCTCACTGTCCCAAACCTTGCTACCATTTCCCTGAATCTTTTCCTACTCTACCCCTACTCTATCAACCTTCTGGGTAAACCCCTTCTTCAAGGCCAGGATCCCAGGACTCTCCCCCTAGATTTTCTCCTTTCCCCCTCGAACCATAGAGAATACCTGGAGGCTTCTATACTGCAGCCACTTTTCTACTGCATACTTCTTGGCTTTACACTAGCCTCTGCTGCTCCTGTTGAGCTGGGCTCTGTCAATGTTTGCTTATCAAGTCTAATTCTCCCTCAGATGTGGCCTAATCAAGTTAATGAACCCCTCAGGCCACATGAACACTTTCCAGACTAGTGGGGGAGGGGGGAATTCCCTAACATAGATTTCCCTAACATATGAGTGTTGTACTGAGCTCCAAGTGTGAGGTGAGGTGGAATGGTCCTCAGTGCACCCAGGATTGTGAGTCACCTTGTTATCCCCCTGCCTCTACCATGATAGAGACTTGTTTTTGTTTAACTGGGTATCAGCTCCCTGAAACCACAGCCTGTGATCCAGCCCTTCCTTTGCCTTGCAGGTTAACAACAACACATACACCCCAGTCCCTGAGCCCCTCTGAAGAATTCCTCTGTATTGTCCATTTCCTCATTCACTGAACATTCACAGAAATACCAGGTCTACTGTACCTAAATGGAACAATGCCCAAAGCAGCTCACCTGAATGTACTCAAGATCTCCATCTTGTTTAATATCACAGAACTGAGCTATATTTATAGTGAAAACTATAGCAAATGTATTATCAAAGATTCAAGAGATAATGATTAAGGAAAATGAAAATAGAGTTACAAATAAAACAAAAGGATAATATGTTTTCTCAAGATTAACTACTAGTTCAACCTCCTATCTAATTAAGTTTCTCTTGTCCAAAGCCTTTTTGCAGTGTCTTCAGCCATGCAGTCTTTCACATTTCAGCCCTCGTGGATATGGAGTAAAAAGCTTGAAACCATGACCCTTTAGAGGTTGACCAGAGCCACAAGACAAATAGCCTCCATCCCCAACACACATTTATTATTTTCTAAAATCTTGTCATTTTAAAGCCAATCATTAGTTTTTGAGAAACAACCTGTGAGATTTTAATTCTTGGATGTGGCAACACTGGCGTTTGTCTTTTGTGAAGTCAATTGCAGATCAGGACCTGGATCATCCCCTTTGTAAATGATTTCCAGCAGTTCTGACTCATGGAGTTTCCAGTACATTTGTTCTACCAGGAGCAGGTTGGCAGCAATTGTGGCCTCCACATAGTTTGATCTATAGAAATTTATGAAGTCCCTAAGCTTCCTCATATCCTCCAGCCCCTGATGATACTCTGCCAGCATATCTCTTGTAAAAGCCACTTCCCCATGAACTCCACAGTAATAAACCCTAGTGGTTGAGAATGACATTGCAATGAGGCACAAAGGGAACATATGGGGCCCAGATCCTCAGCTCATATAAAATAGCATACCTCCACTGACTTCAACTAAGTTACAACAATTTATGCATGTTGAGACTCGGACCCTAGTCTCTAGACTGTACTGGATAATGCTACCTTAGTAAAAATAAGAATGATGGTGGGTTATAGAAAAAAAGAGTTCATCAAACTGCTCTGTGTAGGAATAGAAGATTTATAGATGAAATGGACTGAACTGAAAATATTTTTGAAGGCATGTTCATTGAAGAAACAGAGAAAAACCTAAAAAAAATACAGAATATGACACAAGGATTCCAGGCCTTTGTTGTCTGAGAAATTTGTTGTGATATGTGTGTCCTGGCTGGGGCTTTTCTTTTAAAAAATGTATAGAATTAAAATAAGTTTTTAATATATATGTGTGTGTGTACTTTTTATTATTTTAGCAATATGCCGTCAACTACCTCTCTAAGCATTAAGCAGTTGATTTATTTAATAAAACTGAAGACTGAGCATCACTGAAAACACCGGTTCCAATGGAATACTCTCATGCTGTGATTGGTGAAGAGCTAAGTAATTTGCTTTTAATGCTAGCCCGTATCACTTAGCACTATATTTAACAAAATGATGAAAATCACTCATTTTTCATCCACTTTCTTAACTGGCTCTCAGTGTAATGAATCTTCTTTAGCATGAGCCTTTCACTAGATATATTAAAATTGTCCACATTCTCTGAACTACAAACATTTTAATTTTTAATTCATATTTATGTCTTTATTCTTTAACAGAAGAGAACTACAGATGGGGGAGCAAAATCGGTACCTAGGGAAACTACATCTCTGAAAGGATTCTTTATTTACACTTTTCAGTAATGACTACATAGCTACACAGGAAATAATTGTTGTAAAGGAACACTATACAAACAGGTAATTATTATCTTTCATTAAGTGATAGTGAGTTGTCCTAAGGCACCATAGAGATTAACAAAAATATATAGTATCAGAGCTTTTGTGGGTAAAAAACATTTCCTCAAATGAGTGCTCTAAGGTGCCACATGGCTACTTGTTTTTAAGTTACAGACTAACACTGCTAGTTTTCTAAGTAATAGTGGGCTATGTCTGCACTGCAATTATTTTTTGGAAAAAGGTATGCAAATTGCAAACCAATTTGCATAACTTTTTCTGATTCTTTTTTCGGAAGAGGCTTTTCCGATATTTGGCCCATCTACATGGGGCCAAATGTGGGGAAAACCTCCTCTTTCAGAAGAGCCCTTATTCCTCATAAAATGTGAAACATGGGGGCTTCCAAAAGAGCGCACCCGTTTTTTCAGAAATTGATCCAAAAAAGCAGAAGTGTTCCCTGGATGTAGCAAATTTTTTCCATGTGCTGGGGTATCCCAGGAAAACTCTGTAGTGTAGACATAGCCGTGGTGATGTTGCTGACAACAGCAAAGAATATTCAATTTATAGTCCATATTCACTCTAGGTTTACCAACTGAACTCAATGTGCTCCTACAAAATTAAAATTAAAGTAAGATCTGATGCAAAATTTGAAGTCATATCAAAATTATTTTCAACAGATATATGACTGACTAAAATGGAATGGCACCAACATAAAATTGAGGTAATACAGATCCTGCATTTTTAAATTAAGTATTCAGAACCAGATCTTCAGCTGGTATAAATGGATATGTGTCAGTGAGAGCTTCTAGGATCCAACCTATAATTAAAGTAAGATCTGATGCAAAATTTGAAGTCATATCAAAATTATTTTCAACAGATATATGACTGACTAAAATGGAATGGCACCAACATAAAATTGAGGTAATACAGATCCTGCATTTTTAAATTAAGTATTCAGAACCAGATCTTCAGCTGGTATAAATGGATATGTGTCAGTGAGAGCTTCTAGGATCCAACCTATCTCCAT